GTGCAAACAGAAGTGGGTGCCCAGAAGGGGGGTGCCTGGTGACGCAGCACTGCAGGTGGCTTCCCGGGGCTGGACAGAAGCCCAGCCGTGCTCCCTTTGCAGGGGCTGCATCACAGGAGCGGCTGGCGCAGCTCCAAGGTGGCACGAGGCAGTCCCCAGCCAGTGGTGCCCTTTGGATCCCCGCTGACAGCAGGGCTGGACTTTGTTCTGGCCCCAGGGCTCCCATCAGTGCATCCCGAAGGGTGTCCCAGAGCTCCCCAGGCTGCTCCCCGCCTCTGGCCATTCCCATCCTGCAGCAGCTCCCCTGTCATCCCCGTGGGGCTCCTGGGCTGAGTCCCCACACCAACCTGCATCTGCATCTTGTCCCCCACCCCCCATTGCAACATTCTGCCTGAGGTGCCATGGGATGGATTTAATCAGGGCAGGACTGCCACGTACCACCACACAACGTGTCTCCTTTGCCCCCGTGAAGCCATGGGGCCCTTGCAAAATCCTCAGGCCTCACGGGTGCAGGAACACACAAAGCACCACTACCAGAGTCATGCTGAGTGCAGCAGGCAGCAAAGTGCAGTAAACAGGGGGGAAAACTGTCCCCGGTGTCTCCTTATCCCTTCCCAGACCCATTTTGCCCACGTGCAGTGCCAGCAATGTGCTGAGCCTGGAGGTGCCCTGGGGCTGCCCCCAACAGGGAGCGGCGCTGACACCAACAGCAGCACTGTCTGGTTTTGGGTGCACTCACACATGCTCAGCTCTGGGCTGTGCCTGACCTGTGATACTGGGACGTCCGGGTGGCAGGCAGGAGGCGGAGCCATCACTATCAGTGTGACCCCTTGCCCCTCCCCTGTCCCCATCCCCTGCGACCCCAGGGCCAGCGCGCGGGTGCCATCCTCAGCGACTGCTTCACAGCTGCAAGTATCCCCTGGGCATCTGCTTGGCAGAAGGTTTAACATCTTACCCACTCCCTGATATTGCACAACACCAGGCAGGGAGAAAATCCTCCTAATTCCAGGAAATCTCCAATCCCGGTCATTCTGCTTCTCCTGCTTCAGATGCACAGCAGGGCTGGGCTGTGCCTATTTGTGGCCCTTCTGCACAGACTCAGCACAAAGCAAAACTGAGGAGCAGCTCCTCGCACTGTGCCTGAGAGCAGGAGCTCCACCAGGAGCCGAGGAGCTCTCAGGGTGGCAGCAGTGGCAGTAGCAGCGCTCAGGGGCTGAGGATGGGGTTAATTCCATGCTGGCCCCATCCCGTGGCACTTCTCAGTGTGATCTTTGCTCTGTGGTGGCCTGAGCAATGCTGGTGGCTGTCACTGCGCTGACATGGCACCAAGGCTTTGTTTTTGCTAGAAGAGGCCATTTAAGCTCACCAAACTCATTGCCTTGCATGGGATGCTACCACCAGACACTGCATCCCAAAGCCCCGTCGTCCTGCAGGCACAGCCCCGGCCCCACGAGCAGCGCTGAGGTGCAGCAGTAGAGTGCTCTTCCCATCACCTCCTGCTGCTGCCTCTGTCTCACAGCCAGGCCTTCAGGGCACTCTGTGTCCAGGAGGGTTTTAAACAAAGGCCACGCTCCTCACAAACGAGGGGTTTCACGATTCGGGATTTTAAGAAAATAAACTTCTGACTTTCATGACAACATGAGGACTTGGAATTGCATTCACTGGTTTAGGATAAAGACATCGCATGATGAAATGTCGCATACATCAGAGCGCTCATTTCCATCCCAGTGCTTCCAGTGTGCCCTGATAACATGAGCTGCTGCCTTGCTTCTCTGCTGATTACTTCTAAAGCACAGAAATTGGGGTAATTTGAGTCAGAAGAGACTTCTGTAGCCTGCACGGGCTTGTAAAGATTGGGATCATCCCTGTGCTCCGACTTCTTGCCATCTGCCATCCACAAACCAGGGCCCGCATGGCACAGAGTCAGCAGTGGGGCGACTGGGGGGGCTGAGAGCAGCGGTCGTGCTTCACTGTGATCCCTTTGACGGAGGGTTGTAGTGGGGCTGCACTGGGGCACAGGGCGCCCTTGGAGCTGATCCCCAGCCATCAGCAATGGGTGCCTGACACAGGGAGGTGATGGTGGCATAGAGGGATGATGGTGGCACTGGGAGGTGACAGTGACTCCACTGCCCCGAACCCTTGCAGGGCAGCACGAAGCTGGCATAGGGGTGTGCGAAGGAATAGGGACGGGGGGGCAGGGGGGCAGGGGGGCAGGGAAGGTCGGGGGCGGCAGGTGGGAGGCCGAAGTGAAGGAGGCGGACGGCAGGGGGCAGGGCGGCAGGAGGCGGGGCGGCAGGAGGCGGGGCGGGCTCGTACAAGGCCGCGCGGGCGGCGGCTCCGCGCCCCATTCATCGCGTGCAGCATGGCTGGGGGCGGCGGTGCGGAGCGCGTCCGCGTTGGGGCCGCGGCTGCGGGGCTGCTGCCGCCTTCCTGCCGCCAGCCCCGCCGCAGGGTGAGCTGCCGTCTCCCTCCCTTCTCCCCGGGGCTTCCCGGACCCCGCTCGGAGCCGTCCTCGGTTCCCCTCCCTTTCCCCGACCCTGACGCCACGGGCCGTTGCAGGAGAGCCGGGAGCGGCTGTCGGTGTGCAGCAAGCTGTGCTACGCCGTCGGCGGGGCCCCCTACCAGACCACGGGCTGCGCGTTGGGCTTCTTCCTCCAGATCTACCTCCTAGACGTGGCGCAGGTACCGGGACGGGGCGGAGGCGGCGGCTCTCGGTCGGGCTCCGTGTGGGGCGGCGGGATCCGGGTCCTGCGAAGGGAGTCGCTGCCGGGCTCCGCATTGGGAGCGCGCGGATCCACGCGTCCCTGCTGTTGAACGGCGAGTCGCGCTGGTGGGACGGCTGCGGGCTCTTGGGAGCTCAGCGAGACGGTCCTGGGGTTCTGTGCCCATCTGTGCCTTGAAGGTCCCTTAGAAACAGGAGGGGGCCGGCTTCTTACGCGGTCTGGCAGTGATAGGAGGAGAGTGTGTAGCTTTACACTGAAAGAAAGGAGATTAGGTTAGATATTAAGAAAAAGTTCTTTACTCTGGGGGCAATGAGATGCTGGTACTGCTGCCCAGACAGGTTGTGGGTGCCCTGTCCCTGAAGGCATTCAAGGCTAAGTTGGATGGGGCTCTGGGCAGCCTGAGCTGGTGGGGGCAACCTGCCTCTGGTGGGGGTTGGAACTGGGTGGACTCCAACCTCAGCCATTCTGTGGTTCTGACTCCTGCAGCTTGACCCATTCTATGCTTCTATCATCCTGTTTGTGGGGCGAGCGTGGGATGCCATCACAGACCCCATGGTGGGCTTCTTCATCAGCAAGACGCCGTGGACACGCTTTGGCCGCCTGATGCCATGGTGAGTGCTGTCGGTGTCCCTTCCCTTTGTGCTGACTGCCATCAGCTGTGGGTGACCCTTGGATGAGGTTGGCAGGGCAGGATGTGCCCGCATCCTATTTCATCCAGCGGAGGTGGCAAGTGCCCCAAAAGCCCAGGGTGCTGCCAGAAGCGTTGCTCTGTCTGTGACCCCATTGTACTTAAGCTGTCCCTGGGTGCACCCTGGTGCCACGACACCTGGACGGGCTCCAGCCCTGCAGGAGTGCCCTGTGCCACACGCAGGTGCTGGGTGCAGGCTCCTGTGGCAGTCCCTTGTCTGTGGCCGGTGGCAGGGACGTGCTGTCTGCAGAGCAGGTGGCATTACAGCTGGGGGGGGAGGGGGAGGGTGTGCGCAGTGATGTGGGAAGGTGGGATACCAGCTGATGGTCACAAGGATGTGGTGTGAACAGGAAGAGCAGCTGCCACAACTCCAGGAGTCTGCATGTGGGTGCTGCCCTTGGGAGCGAAGTGCAGAGCAAGGGGAAGTTGGAGGTGTGTGTGTTTGCAGAACCCCAAAGGCTCTGGGCGTGGGCTCAGAGGTGATGTCCATCAACACCTGTCCCTGTGCAGGACAGCGAGCGCCGCGACCTTCAGGAGCAGGATGAGAGCCGTAGGGTGCTAATATCTGAGTGTGGACATGGTGGTGTATCCCTCACCAAAATAACCTGCAGGGTGCTGAAACACAGTGGAGCAAAGGGGGCAGGCTCAGGGGGCTGTGGCTGCAGAGACACACTGCTTTCCCCTGCAATTACACCCTCTGTTTCCATGGGGGTTTCCGTGAATAGCTGTGGGCAGAGGCAGCTGCCTGGTTAAGCTGGGTTCCATGCATGGCCTGAAATAGCCTCCCTGTAGGCAGCGTGGCGGGTCTGGGGTCTGGAGATTAGCATGGGGCTGGGCAGGATAGCTGTGCTCAGCTGCAGCTCTGCTCTGTAATCTCAGGGCGGGGGTGGGGATGGAGCTGCTGCATTCCTCCGAACGGCTCTTGCATTGTTAAAATTAGCCATCGCTTTTGTGGCATGGTGGGCCCCTCGGCCTGCAGGTGTTATTTCTGTCTTCAGGGGAAACCGGCAGCCCCCAGCTACTGCAGCTCTGCTGCTGCATTGGTTTCCCCGGGCACGGTGACGGCCCTGGGCTGCCGCCTGAACCCCAACCCTCGGTACGCTGCGGTGGGATCCCGGGGGTGAATTTCTGCCAGGCTCTGAAGTGCGTGACGTGGGGCTCTGACTCAAAGCACGAGGCAGCTCCTGCTTCCTTTCAGCTCTTTCTTTGGAAGCCCTTCCTGGCACGCTTCCTCCCAGCAGCTCGTCCGCATGCTGCGCTGCTTTCATGCAGCATTTCCCCTCTTTCCGATGACCAAACTTTCCCCTGACGTGCTGCTGATTGCAGCGTCCCGGCTCCGACCTTCCTCCTCCGGGCAGCGGCCGTTTGCAAACGGTTAAACTGCCGGACTGGGAAGCGAGCACAAAGGAACACGCCATCACTCCCAGCCAATGAGCGCAGCTGCGCGTCACCGGCACCGCGCCCGCGGGTCACTTCCAGTCATTCGTCCCGTGGCCGCGGGGCTCGGCGCCCCATCGCGGAGCCGGAGGCACCCTGGGGGTCCCGCGGGGGTGACGCTCGCCCCACGTGCACCTGGGTGCCGCAGCAATGCGGCCGCTTCCCGCCGTGCGTGGGGCTGCAGTGAGCGATTCCGACCTTCTCGGCTCACATCTGCGTGGCAGTGAGGGCGCCGGAGAGGAGTGGCTGTGAGCTGGGCTCCCCCTTCCTCCCCCCCGCCAGGGTGACGTCTGTGTGGAAAAATGTGCGTGTGCTGCGTCCCATGCAGTGTGTCTGCCCGCTTCATCCATGGAGATACGGTTTCTCAATGCTCTCCCCAACTTAAATTTAACTTTGTGTCCTGTATGTCAGCTTGGATGGAAAGATTTCCCTGTCCCCTCATTGCAGACAGCTCTGACCTTGTGTGGCTCCGCCGGGCTCTGCTGGTTTGGTCCCTGAGTGCAGCCCCCATTCAGTGTCTTGCGGAGCATAGGGTGCTTGCAAGTCTGCAAGCAAAGACAGAATGAAGTCAAGACACAGTGGGTGGCTTTTCACTGCTGTTTGCCTGTTGGCCAGTTCTGACAGCCAAGTGCCAAGCTCTGGTACTTGAGCAATGCCCCCTCCCTGATCCTGTTGTGCTTTGCACCCCATGTCCTGCTGCACACTGCAGAGCTGCAGGAAGGAGCAGTTGCTGCTGGCTGGGACTCGCCCTGTTCCTGCCAGCTGAGCAGGGGTGACTCTGGGATGAGGGCCTGGTGCTGGCAAGGGCAAGAGGTGCGGGCAGGGAACTGCGCTCCTGGCTGCTCTGCAGCCCTTGCCAGGAGGTGCAGAGTGACGGCATCCTGCTGAGCAAGGATCATCCTGCCTGCAGGAAGGGTCGGGGCGGGGAGCTGATGGCAGGAGCAGATCAGTCCCTTCCATCGCAGCAGGGATGCCTGCTCATGCAGAAGCAGCTTTTTTGCGAAAGTCTGAGTCAACCCATTCCCCTCCCTGCTGTGAGAGCTGAGGTGCTGCCTGCAGCCCTGTGGCACGCAGTCCAGCAGGGTGGGCCGCTTGGGGCAGCTGTGGGTCCCCAGAATCATGGCCCTGGTCCCCGCTGTCCGTACAGCAGTGGGGAGAGCTGGGCCGGTGGAATTAAATTCTGCCTGCAAGACTGACGCTGTGTCCTCCCAAAGGATCATCTTCTCTACCCCATTTGCTGTCATCTCCTACTTCCTCATCTGGTTCGTCCCAGACATCTCCAGAGGCCAAGTGATGTGGTATCTCATCTTCTACTGCATCTTCCAGACCCTTGTGACGGTGAGTCGGGCTCTACCTGCTGGGCCAGCAGGGCAGGACACAGCAGGGCGACGGGACCTCTGTCCAGGTCCCGCCAACATTCGCAGCCCTGAGCCCATTCTCTGGTGCCGCTGCAGTGCTTCCACGTGCCCTACTCGGCGCTGACGATGTTCATCAGCAGGGAGCAGAGCGAGAGGGACTCAGCCACTGCCTACCGTAAGTGCTTCTTCCCCTTGCCGCACGGTGCTCAGCTCCTTCGCTGCTGCTCCCGCTGGGGTGTGATCCTCGTGCAGGTGCAGGGAGAGGATTGTTGGGTTGCATCTCCCATCTCTAGGAGTGTTGTTCAGGGCCTGAGCTGCAGCTGGTCCAGGTCTTTCTGTTCCTCTTTCCTATCTCCTCTGGCACGCGTTCCTGTTAAGTCTGAGAGCTGTTCCTCAGTCCTCCCTCCCTCTCTGCTATAAGGCAGACAGCACCGTGCCCAAGTGCAGGCATACCTCACCTCCCATCTTGGTTTTCCAGCAGATGTTCCCTGCATAGCACAGGGCTTTTTTCTCTGGTTTGGGTGGAGCTGTAGGAGAGCCGTGCTGGCTCATCTCTGCTGCTGACAAGGGGAGCAGAGAGCCCCAAGCTCAGCCCCGGTGCGTCTCCCCAGGTATGACGGTTGAGGTGCTGGGCACTGTGCTGGGCACCGCCATCCAGGGCCAGATTGTGGGCAAGGCAGTTGCCCCCTGCATCGAGAACCCCCCCTTCCTGAGTGAGAACAACTTCTCAGCGGCCATAAGGAATGTGAACATGACCCACTACAGCGGCTCGCTGGCAGACACGGTAAACTGAGGGCGCTTGCTGGTTTCCGCTGCTCCCCTGGGCAGCACTGGCTGCCAGGATGAGGCCTTCCCTTATTGCTTCCCCTCTCGCACAGAGAAATGCCTACATGGTCGCAGCGGGGGTCATCGGGGGGCTCTACATCCTCTGTGCTGTCATCCTATCGGTGGGCGTGCGGGAGAAGAGAGGTGAGACGGAGAGGGGCTGTGATGTGTGGGGGCTCTTGGAGGAGCTGTGGTCTCATCTGAGGGTCCTGCCCCATAGAGAGGGGCTGAGGAGCTGGGATGGCTCTGCAGAATGGCAGTGCTGTGGGAGGAGGGCACAGCATCTCTGGCTCATCTCACTGCACTGCCAGAGATGTTCCTCTCACTTGGCTTTGGCTGGCTGAGTTTGTGGTGCCGGTTTGGGCATCCCAGTGCAAGGTGATATCCGAAGTCCAGGGCTCTGGTCCTGCCCTTCTGTTCTGTACCCAGCTCGGCTTATCCTGGGCAAGGCAGTGACCCTCTGAGACTCCGCTGGGGGCTCCTTTCCCCCATTGCCCTTATCCCCCCAGGTCCTGTGTGCTGTTCTGCATCAGGTTTGGGTGCTTTCCCCAGGGTGCTGTCTGTGGCTCTGACGGTGGGCTCATTCTGCTCCCCAGAGTCCTCTGAGCTGCAGTCAGATGAGCCCGTCTCCTTCTTCCGAGGGCTGAAGCTGGTGATGAACCACGGTGCCTACATCAAACTCATCACCGGCTTCCTCTTCACTTCACTGGCCTTCATGGTGAGGAGCGCTGGGTTGGAAGATGAGCAGGGGCAAACTGGAGCCTGGTGGGCCAGGATCAGTGATCTGGAGCAGAGCGGGGATGTGGATGGAGATGGACACTGGTGTCTGTTTGGAGTGCCCAGGGTGTCCTCCCCTGACCACTGTCTGCTCCCTTTGCAGTTGCTGGAGGGCAATTTCGCCCTCTTCTGCACCTACACCTTGGGCTTCCGCAACGAGTTCCAGAACATCCTCCTGGCCATCATGGTGCGTATGGCCTACTGGACCCCCCCAGGGATGGGATGCACACAATAGCATCCCATGTCTGAGCTGGGGAGCAAGGGAGGTCAAGGGCTGTGGGGACAGTGACCAAAAGTCCCTTGGGAGCAGAGGAGAGAGAAGGAGTCACAAAAGCGGGGTGGGTTGGCAGGAACAGCAAAGCCTTTGTTCCCACATGAAGGCTGCCAGAGATGGAAGAACAGGAGCCGTGGGGGCCTTTTGTCCAAATCTGGCCACTTATCTCCCTTCCCCCCCTTGAGTAAAGGAGCTCGGTGTTCACTGCCTGGGACAGAACACAACATCTCCTTGGGAGTCCTATGGGATGGGGAGGTCCGAAGTGCCAAGCCCTGCAGAGTCTGGCTCCTGGCTGCAGCGGGGGTGGATCTGGCTCCTTCCCATGTCCACGGCAGGCGGGTCCTTGGCTGGTTGAGGGGAATGGTACTGGGGCGCTCTGCAGTGTCCTTACGTGCCTACTTCAGTCTTGGGAGTGGGTGGCTTGTGAAAGCCTGGGGTGTTGGGTGAGGGGCTGAGATTGATGGGCAGAGCCTGGACAGGCAGTGACCACAAGCCCCCTTTCTCATAGCTGTCAGCCACCCTGACCATCCCCTTCTGGCAGTGGTTCCTCACCCGCTTTGGGAAGAAGACTGCTGTCTACGTGGGCATCTCGGTGAGTGGATGCACAGAGCTGCCTGCTGGGGCCATCACTGGGGAGGATGGGGCTGAGGGCAGCAGCTGAGGGCTCTGGGAGACCAACCCAACTTCTTTTCCCCCCTGCAGTCCGCTGTCCCCTTCCTCATCATGGTGGTTGTCCTGGACAGTAACCTCGTCATCACCTACATCGTGGCGGTGGCGGCAGGGATCAGCGTGGCAGCTGCCTTCCTCCTGCCCTGGTGAGCAAAGGCCCCGTGCTGAGAGCAGGGCTGGGCTCTGCGGGGCACTCTGTGACCCCTGGGGGTCCTGGTGGGAGATGCTCACCTGTCTCCACACAGGTCCATGCTGCCGGACGTCATAGATGACTTCAAGCTGCAGCACCCCGAATCCCGCGGCCACGAAGCCATCTTCTTCTCCTTCTACGTCTTCTTTACCAAGTTCACCTCTGGGGTATCGCTGGGCATCTCCACGCTCAGCCTGGAGTGAGTGTGGTGGGGACGGCAGCGGGGTGCAGCAGCCCGGCTGCCGTTCTCCCATCTGACGTGTGCTCGTCTGCAGCTTTGCAGGGTACCAAACACGGGGCTGCTCCCAGCCCAGCGAGGTGAACGTCACCCTGAAGCTGCTGGTGTCGGCCGTGCCTGTGGGGCTGATCCTGCTGGGCCTGCTCCTCTTCAAGCTGTACCCCATCGACGAGGAGAAGCGCAGGGAGAACAAGAAGGCCCTGCAGGACCTGAGGTGGGTGTGGGCCCGTGCCGAGAGGCGGCTGCGTCGCGTGCCAGGGCTGCGGCGCCGGGTCGGGCCTGGGCTCGTTGGGCACCACTGGGGCGCGTCTGGGAGCTGTGGGCGGCAGTGAGGAGCGGCGGTTCTGCCAATCCCGGCTGCCGGGGAGGTGGCGTGAAGCGTTGGAGATTGGCACAGAACCGGCCCTGGTTGCTAAAGAGCCGGGCTGGGTCTGCACGCGGTGGCTGTGGGGTTCCCTGCTGGCTGCAGCGGCCCTGTGGGATGGAGGCGGGCCGTGCTTCACACCTTCTTTCCCCGCAGGGAGGAGAGCAACAGCAGCTCGGAGTCGGACTCCACAGAGCTGGCCAACATCGTGTGACCTGCAGCTCGCCCGCCTGCAGCACGGTGGGGCCGGGGGCCGCGGGCTGCCCGTAGTGTACATTACACAGATGGACCCGCGGAGCTGGAGCTGCTGTTCCCCGGCCCGGCAGAGTGCAGCCCCCTTCCGCGGCGGGGCCGGGCCGTGGTAGTGTACATTACACTGTGTCCGTGCCAAGGGCAGCTCACCGCTGCGCTCTGTACATACGACACTAAGTCAGGAAGCTGTTCTGTTTGTTTGGTTGGGTTTTTTATATAGATGATTAACTTAATGGTGTAAATATTAAACTTTGCTATTTGTATATAATGAACTGGGAGTGAATTTGAGGACCTGCTAGTGTTGATTCACATGAAAGTGGGGGGACTTGCAGAGCTGTGTCGAGGAGCTGAGTGGCACCCGCAGCCGTACCTCACAGCCCTGCTCCTTGCACAGTGCCTGCGCTACAGCAGACCAACAAAGGCACCATTATTTTCTCCCTTTCAAGAGGAGGGGGAAGGAGGGGGAGGGAGGTGGAGGGAGGAATGACACTGAGGTGCTGCTGGGGGAGAGTGCAAGCACTGTGCTGGAAACAGGAACAGCAGCTGCCAAGCAGGGGGAAATGGAACGCGATGGTGGGTGATACTCAACACTTCTTCCCCAGGCAGAGCTCTCAGCAAGTGCTGATCTGTGCAGATATTTATACTGTGTGCTCATATTCACCTCTTCCGTGAGAGCTCTGCTCCCTGGGAGCACTGTGCTCCTATGGCAGGGGCTGCAGCCTGGGGTGGGAGCCGGCAGCAGGGCTGTGCAGCTCTGTGCTGTCCCTAGAGCACTGTGCTGTGGCTGCCATTTGAAGCATGTTTGTCAAACAAGAACTGAGCTGGGTCAAAGCCAAAGTCCCTTACAGAGGGCTCACTTTTGTTCCACTTCCAGCTATAAAGGATGGGAATGAGAATGGAGCATTAAGAAATAGGAATGAGAACAGAGGCTGGGGGGGTTCCACGTGCACCCAGTGCTGCTCGGGCCCAGTGGAAGAGCAGCGACCTCAGCAGGGGAAAACGAGCTGAGCTGCCCATCGCTGCTGCCTTTTCTTTCTCAGATTTCGGACATAAAACAGTGGCATTTCACTCCCCACCTCCTCTGCCTCTGTGGGGTTCATAGGGAGGTTCCATTCAGGCTCTGCATGCAGCTGAAGGGGCTAAAAGCACTGTCAGCTTGAGCCCGTGCCCGGACATTCCTTGCTGAGTGCATCTCTTCTATTCGGGACTTTTAAGAAAGGAGATGGGGAGAAATGAGCGCAGGAACTGACAGCACCGCCCGGGCTGAGCTCCAGCACCGCAGTGAAGGCCACGTCGTGCAGCGGTGATGACGGCGTGCGGAAACGCTCCGACACGGGAGATGATCGCGGAGTGGCTGCGCTGCAGGAACCGAGGGAGGTCACGCTCCCCTCTGCAAACAGCCTCTCACACAAAGGCTGCCGCCGCGTTTCGGTGGGCTGCTGTTAATGATTTACGGACGGCCCCGCGCTGCCGACACCGTCTCGTGGCGGAGCGGAGCTCCCATTCGCTCTGCCCCAGAACGAGACTCCGGCAGGGCGCGGGGCGGCGGCACGGACCGGCACCAGGGGGCAGCACGGCCGCCGCCCTCCGAGCAGCGCCCGCCGCAACCGCGGCCCACGAGACCCCGCCCCGAGCGGGAACCCCGCCCCCAAAGAAGCCCCTCCCTATTGGGGCTCCGCCCCTCCTGTCTTCCCCCTCCCCCTCTCATCCAATCGCAGGCCGCCGATGCCCAAGGCTCCTCCCCTCTCCGCGCGCCGCGCCTGGCCGTGCGCACTTCCGGTGCGCGGGGCGGGGGCCGGAAGCGGCGGGTGCGGGGGGTGCTGGGCGGCGGCGGCAGCGGGGCAGCGGGAGGTGAGTGCGGCGGATCCGCAGTGTCGCCACAGCCGGGGTCGCGGGGTGCTGCGGGCCGGGCGCTCTGCGGGGCGTGGCAGGAGCGTCAGGGCAGCGCTCTCTCGGCCGCGGCGGCGCTGTATCGCCGGTGGGGGCGGGCGGCCGCGGCGGGGATCCGCGCGGCTCCCCGGCCGCCCCCTGCGGCGGGACTCGGCCGTTCCGCGCTGCCCGCTCCGCTCGCTGCCCTCGGCCCCGGGGCGCTGCTCGCGGGGGGCGCAGGGCGGGGCTCGGCTCGGGCGCCGCTCCTCAGCACTGCGGGACGGCCGCACCGCCGCTCCCCTCCTTTCCCCTCTCCTCCTCAGCGCTTCCTGCCCAGCGCGGAGCCTTCCCCGCGTCCCCGGGGAGTTCGGGGCACCGCGGCTGCCCCCGTCCCGTGACGCGTCCCGTCTGTAACGAGTTCGGGAGAATTTGTTATTTGGCAGAGCTCAGATCGGCTCAGGTGAATTCTTCGAGGCGGTTTTGGTTTCCTGGACGCGGCAGATCGCAGCCGCCAGCGGTGGGCACCCGGGCTTCGGCGCTGCCAACAGGTGCTGCTGTGTGGCCGCGGGGAGCTCCGTGCTCGTCGGCTACCGGCGGGCTGCGCCCCGCGGCGCTGCAAAGAGAATCTTCCTTTCTGAGCTGAACCGTTTTAGGAAAAAAAATTATTTGGTCTTTTGGAAGATATAAACGCTGGAAGTCATCTGGCAGCTGATCCCCTGAGATATTCCAGTGTCAGCCCAGAATAAGCTGTGGTATGTTCCTAATTTAGTTCTCCCATCTTTACATCTCTGCCTGCAGAGCAGGAAGTAGCTGATGCAAACGTGTTGCTGACAGCGTTCCGTTGTGCTGCACCGAGGCGTGGGCTGGGCTCTGTTCTGGAGCTGCAGTTTGCGGCTCCATCAGACTGGGGCTGTGGCAGTTTGGTGTCTGCTGTTCCTCTGAGCGCCTGCTGGATGCCGGGGACGCGCTGACCCCGGGATGGTCTCTAAACAGGAAACTCCTCTTCAGGGTTTGTGGTGTAGGATTGGCTGTGTTGTTTTTACAAGAAAAAAACTTGTCCCTTTATTGCTCCAATTGCTTTATAAAGTGGTCTTGTTGATGAGAGCTTGCATGCTGTGCAGTGTGCTCAAATCTGTGTTCCCAAGTCTGCGAGGAAGTAAAGATTAGCTAATAAATTAACCAAACATGCTGTGCAGATTAATAGGCATTCTGCACCAGGGCGAAATGCACAAGTGTTTGCTGAGAGTCCGTAGCTTCTGCTCCATTGGTAATCAAAGTTCAATTGAATTTAAACAAGACGTGGATTTAAGGCCTGCATTGCAGCCCCAGCAGGAAGGGCTTCAGCTGAACTCCGCTGCCGTCGCTGCACTCTGGCCCTGCATGGCACAGCTCTGGGGCCTTTCCCTTTTCTGGGCATGGTACAGCGCAGAGCAGAAATGACTCAGATGTGATCGGTTCTCAGTTTCCTCTTTGAGGAAGGCTGGTGGCATCCCGCTGTGCGTTCTGAGAGCTGTGAAGTCAGTTTGTCGCTTACTGACAAGTTCCTCTGCATTCCCTACGGCCAATAGTTAAATTGCTGTTCAGGTGCTGCACAGGCAGGTCTGTTTGTGATCTTTTTTCCCCCTCTGTAAACATTGCCTTCTCTGAATTGCACGTTCTGGCTACTGATATCCGTTAGGCTCTTGTCTGTGGAGCTGAACCTTTTTATTTTATCCAGGCTGGGTTTGTAGATCAAACGAGCATCTACAGAGCACAGGGGGGGTGAGGCAGGATGGCTGTGTGAGGAGTGATGGTGTAGCTGCCTGCTCTAGCACTTGTGCTGCCTGCACGTAGCTCTCACCTCCCAGACCCTTTACCAAATGACTTCTCTTCCAAGTTGCTTTAATGCTGCCCACTAAAGAAATGGAAGTGATTTTACCATCTGCCAGGCAGTTTCAGGTCTGCAGAGCTGGCACTGAGTGCTATGGGCTCATGGCTTCCTATCAGGGAGACCCAGCCGAGGTGCAGGAGGGATTTGCCTAATGGCAGGAACCAGGACTTCGAGGAACACTCCTTCTAAGGGGCCTTAAGCCCAACAGAGTATCTCGAATTTACACTCTACGCCCTGTGCAACAGTGCGTTTTATTGCTGGGACAGGAAGCTGCTCTCCATCTGGACTTACTGGTCGTAATCCCGATTTGAATTGCAGTTTGAGACTGGGTAATGGGGCTGATCAGATTAGAGCCTGGTGTGGAATGTGGTGGGGATCAAGGGTGCAGAATTGCAGCTTTGTGCACCCAGCACTCCGTGAACCTGTTGTCCTTCCTGATGCCCCTGTGTTGCGTGCCTGTGTCCTGCTGTGCTCAAGGCATGGGAGAGCTTCCTTAGTGGTGACTTCTTGGGGAAAAAAAGCTCCTCTTTAAGCTTGCAAGAGTGGGGACAGGCCTTGCTGCTGTCTGCACTCCCACTTGTAGATGTGAACCCGGTTCTGGATGCATCCTGCTGCAGCAGGGTGCTGGTGGTCCCGCGGTCAGGATTTCTGCATCATAACGAGTTAAAAAAAGAAGTATTCGTTACTGCCAGCTGTGGGTGACCGCCCACAAGTGTCAGCCTGTCTAAACTTGATGCATCTGGAAGCCCTCCAGAGGCTGCTGACCAGTTTGATGCAGGGCGGCCACCCCGGCTCGCTGCTGTGTGGGCAGAACGCTGCTGCCTCCTCTCGGAGCTCACTGCTGCCGCGGGCAGGCGGCTGAGGGGTGAAAATGGCCACAGTTGATCTCCGACCGAAGCTTGTGAGCAGAAGCAAAGCAGCGTTAGAACTGCAGGTTTGGGCTCTGAGGATCTGGTCTCAGCTGGCGAGCGCAGTTGGATAGCGCTGCCTTCCTGTTGGGCTGGGGAGAGCCTTCCTCAGGCAGGGCTGAGCAGAAGGAAGCCTGTTCTGGCCACAGCGGTGATTCACATTGTAAAATATTTTGACGGAGTGGTGATAAGATAAAAACACGGTTGCTGAATTGCTATTCCCTCCCTGCGTTCCCTGGGCATTAGTGTGCTCTGAGGGTGACTTGCTATGCTCCTCCATGCAGAGTCTTTACAAAGCAGAAATTAATGGAAAGCTCGTATTACGCTTCAGACTCCTCCAGATGAGAAGCCTCAGGTGATTTATGTGCCTAAGTCACTTTCCTGTGCAGTGCTTGCAGAGTAGATGCTGTAGTTCAGATGCCAAAGCCTTTGGTGGGAGCACAAACAGGGGCACATTGTTGTGGAAGCAGTTCTGCCATCTCAGCAGTTGCAGCTGCTCGCCTCGGTGCTGCCAGGGCAGCTCGTGCCACACGCTGACGCTGTGCAGCAGCCATGCAGGAGCTGTAAGTGCTTTGTGGAGGCGTTCAGGGCTCCAGGAGGTCCCTGTGGACGCATT